ATACCACAGGTGCAACCAGGATAACCAGGGCTGGAGGTAAAGAAAAATTACAGAAGGGAACCTGCAGAGCCCAATTTGCTCGTGCCCACAAGGGCTGCGAGGTGCACAGGTTGAGTTTACCACTTTCACAGCTGAAAAATATGGGCTCTTTAATCCTGCAGGAAAAGCCTAACAAGAACAAATGGCTGGAAGGTGAAACCAGGGAAATTTGTATTAGGGAAAGAAGGGCCTGATTTTTAAAGGCTGGGGCTGATGAGCCCTTGGAAGGGATTATTAAAAGCAGTACTGCCTTTGCCGATGTTTTCAGATAAATGGTGAATATTTTTCTGGCCACTATCCCTGGCCCAAACACACTTCATTAGGCTTTATTGGCATACCTGGATCTGATCCATTAAGGAGTTACATCCTTTACACTTTTGTTTATGATACTGAGTATTGCTCATCGACATGGGCAGGACGGGGGGGGTTTGCTTCATTTTGAAGGTAATACCAGTGCCACCAGTTCCACATTATCCGACTACTCCCTTTGAGATTGGTAAGGCTGAAGGGGTTAATCGCCTCTGTGACAGAGGAATCATTTTGAGTGTTGGCCAGGCAAACAGGCTGGGTTAGAAGAATGAACTATCAAAAACTGTCAGGGTATGAATAGAGTTATCATATGAATGGATGTGCCCCTGGAGATAAAGGCAGCACCAAAGACTGCCAGTGAGGCCAGCAGGGACAGGCAAAACAAGGACCCGAGCAGAACAAAGAGCGGAGGTGACGGGATGTCTCCGTAAAACCAGCGCTCCCCAGGTCTGCCGGGACCCAGCACTGACGCCAGCATGTGTGGGATGAGCTTCCACCCTTCCTGAGCATCTTTGGGGGGCTGGGGTTCGCTGCTGGTTTGTTGAGGGTTTTTTGAGTAAAATATTTTGCTAACCACCTTTCAGCAATTGAAAAAATAGGAATTTTTTCCTCCCTGAAGCAATTCATCAGGTTTTCAGTTGTACTTAAATTTGGTTTCATCAGATCCATTTCCACCATCACGAAAATGGGTGCTCATTTATTGTCACTCGAAACAACCCCTTGCAATTTCAGGAAACGAGAATTCAAGGAGAATGAAAAAAACCTGCCAAAGTAGGTGTGTTTTGTGCACAGGTGTGTTATTTTTCTGCAAATTTTGGAGGTTGATTTTCCAGAAGTTTTATAAGCTATTAATATAAGAGGGATGGAAATGAAGATGGCACCAGAAATATATCCCTGTAAGCCTACCTAAAATTATGCAAATATTTGCTTTATATCAGCATTTTGGGAGCAATCAAAAAATTAAACACCCCCAGATTTTTTTTTTACTAATGTAGCCTGAACCAGCTCCCTATTTTAAACCAATGCTTCTCCATTCCCCATCAACCAAAAGTCCATAAGCTTAAACACTCTTGTTTTCTATCCTCAGAGAGGAACACACCCCCACAGCCTTTTTAAAACGGAAAAGGCGATTTCCTCTCCCTTTCAATGTCTTGCTTTTCCCGCAGCCCCAACTTCGGCATTGCTGCAGAGAAGTAGGAAAGAAGCATTGAATAAACATGCAGATTAGTTTTTACCTTTTTTCTGTTTGAGCAGAGGGGCAATTAATGAGATTACAATGACAGATTAGCAGGGGAGACCCCCATGAACCCTTCCTGTGGCCCCCGTTTCAGCAGCGCAGCAAGCGGCTGGGTTTTCCCAAGGATTCTGGTGCTTTCCCGCACCCCATCCCTGTTGAGTGGAGGAACGAAACCCCATCACTGTGGTACAAGGAAAAGATGAGCATCCCCTCCTCAGTTCAGCATCCTCCCCTGTCCATCACCCCATCCCCATCACCTGCTGTTTGCCTCAGCCCCAAAATGCTGGGGGAAATATCCCCAAATCCCCCTCCCTTGCTTCACCAGGTCTCCACATGGACCCCTCCAAGCTCACCCGTGGGCCATGGTGTCCATGTTGTGATGGGGAGGAAGGTCGCCTCACGGGCGGAGGGCAGAGCTGAGCTGGGGGCATCACCTGGGAGGGAGCAGACCCCCAGGAGCAGCATTTGAACTGCTATTTTTTGACAGAAAATACAATTTTGTTACCCCCCCCCCACTCAAGCTCCAAATGTGATAATTTCTGCTTGTCTGATTTTCTTTCAATTTAACAAAGATATTTCATATTTTACTATTTAACTTCAATTTGTGCTATAATATAAAATACCTGCTTTAATATTTTCACCTACACAACTCAGTCTGCAATAGTGTAAGAATTTTTAGTGTCTCATACTTCATATTATTGAAATATCTTGTATTAAAATATACTAAAATATCATATATATTGAAAATAATTTTCTACCTTTTCTACCTCCATGCTCTAAAGCAATTTAATAATTTCAGACAATTCTTTTTTCAGTGCTCCAAATAAAAATCTTCCACATCCCACATATTTTTACCCCTCTTTAAAAAAACTTTGAGTTTTGGCTTTCAATGCATTTCGCAATGGCTGCCGTGCTGAAATGGGGGATTTCCCATGGAATGGCGATTCCCTTTTCCTCCTATTTCTTGGGCACGCCTGCACACAAGACTGAAAGGAATAAAAAATATAAGCTTAAAACTTCTTGGAACAAATATTTCAGGAAAGAGAAAGGCACTGGGAGCTCTTGGAAAGAAAAAAAAACTAGGGTTGAAGCTTTTTTTTTGTTAATACATGTTTTTATATACCAACTGCCTCCCAATACAGGCATGCAGAGTGTAGCACACCATGGCCTGAAATTTGCTTTGTGGTTGTAATTTTCTACCTTGCAGTTCCCAAACCAGCACTGGGTTTGCTCGGGAGCATGGCCAGAAATGCAGGGCACTGAGAGGCTGTGGGAGCAGGCAGAAGTGATGGGCTGCTAGACTACACCCTGACACCGTGCCTGTAGTCACCACATGCTCTGGGCATGGGGCAGCCAAGCCTGGCATAACTGCAGAGTGGCAGGCACCAAGGCTGGGCTCCACTCTGCCGCATCTCCCACATTTCCAGTCCCGTCCCATGCCAGAGCGAGCATCTCCCGCTCAACCACCGGCGCCACAGCCGATGTCGGCGTGGACACCGCTCCCAGCCCATTGAGCACCTGGGACACTGGGAACTGGCAGAGCCCACAGCCACATCCCAGTGCCACTGCTCATGCTGGGGACCCGGCTGGCACCGAGTGCCCCATGGCAGAGCACAGCAGAACCCCAGGATCCGCGCGGCCGTGAGCATTATCGCCGCGGCGGATGGAGCACCACGAGCTTTCTGCAGGCTCCCACACCTTTTCTTGATGCCGTTCAGTGCCTCCTATCGGGTCGAATTGATATCCAGCCTGCTTGGTCTGCCCCAGAGCCCAGCGCATCCCCAGCCCTGCGCAACCTCCTGACCAAGGCTGTGATTAAAGATAGCTTTATTTTCCAACAAGTCTTGTGGGAAAGCCAGGTCTCTCCCAGCCGGCAACGGGCAGACTGGGAGAGAGTCCAGCGTCTGGCTGTCCATGCAGACACCATAAGCCCAAATCAGCATCCAGCGATCTCCTCCGTGGAGTACAGCATGGAGGCCCTTGCCTCACTTGTCAGTGCCCAGGGTGCACCAAGTCCAGGCAGGGCTGTTTGGCTTTCTGGGGCTGCAGCACTGAGAGCCTGGCGTTGCACAGGCAGCATCCTGCACCACTCCCTGCCCAGGACATGGGGCAAAGTGCAGCTGTTGCATCTCAGAGCACAGACCAAGCAAGGGCTGGGAGTGTCAGGGTGCTGGGGCCCCATTCGGCACCCTCACAGCTCATCCCCCGCAGTGAGACCCCAATGCATCCCCCTGCGTGGGCAGCAAAGCAGATGGGAAAAGGAGCAGGAAGAGGGCCAGGAGGTAGGTATTGGGCAGAAAACAGGGTTAGGACCAGCAAATAGCTAGAAATTGGGAATAAAGTGAGGAAAATGCTGGTGGGTGTTGGACGATGGCAGGTAAGCACAAGGACCCAACCCAGCAGGGTGCTGCAAAGTGTACGAGGCCCAGGGGTGGCAGCCCTTGGGCCTCAGCGTGCTGGAAGGATGGCAGAGATGCAGGGGCAGGAGAAGGGAGAGACTCCATCACCTCCATGGGGCAGGGACACCGGCCCCAGGGCTCGCTAGAGAGGCTGTGCCGTGCTGGCCGAGGCTCTCAAGCACAGCAGAAGGGAGGAAGGATGCTGCTGCCAGTGCCAAGGACATGCTCGGGAGCGGCAACAGCAGATCTCTGGCGATGAAGATCAGCAGACCCGGGAAGCAGCCGTGCCGCCGCTGCCAGCAGAGAGGAAGACAGGCGAACGGGTGGGTGGCAGGAGCAGGAGCAGCACTGCCAAAACCAAAGGGGGCCTGAGGTACTGGAGTAGGGACACGGACAAGGGCCGGGGATGAGGGCAGCCGGCAGCTGGGTAGAGTGGCCAGCTGGAGACAGCAGGCCTGACGTGGCTGACACCAAGATGTCGGGAAGAATCCTCAGCTACATCCCTGCTTCCTACTTTGGAAGTTTCCAGCCCTTTCTCTCACGAGAAGTTTCCCACCTGAATGCCCTTTCCAGCTCCCCTCATCCTCTGCACACCTTCCTGTGCACACCCACTCTCTCCATCACAGCCCACACTGCTCGGCCAACGTGCATGGCCCTGCGCTGCTGCCAGCTCCGGTGATGGGGATCGCCATGGCTGAGCTGGTGCCGATGTCCCTGTCCTCTCTGCAGCCACCCCTGCATGCTGCAGCAGAGCCCGGACACGGGAGGAAGGCAGAGCTGCCGGCATTGCTGCAGAGTCAGGTTCTCCTGACCAGCTCCGAAGTTTTGCCTCTGGTGCAAAAGCTCCAGGATTAGCAAACTCAGGCAAGCAGGATCCTGGAGCTGCTCTCCCCTGGGAGCACAGAGAAGCAAAGCCCGGCAGGACTAAGCCCATGTGGACACATCCAAAGAGCCGCAGCGATCCCGCGGGTGCCCCTAACACTGCCCCGTCATTCCAGGGCCACCCCGATTCCTACCTTCGCTGGTGGTGGCCGAGAGGCAAGCAGCCAAGGCTATGACGATGGAGAGCGAGGATGTCAGATCCCCCGGTGCCCATGCCATGGTCCGGCGGGGGCCACCAGGCGCAGGACAGGGCCACCTCGGTTGTCCCAGCACCTCTGCGAGCGAGCCCACTCTGCCCAGAGCTACGGCACTCGCCGGCTGAAGCAAAGGCACTTTGCGCACATTGCTCGCAGCCCCGCGGGCGGGCGAGCAGGGAGGGAGCAGCCTGCCCGTCACCGCTCGCAAGCCAATGGGCTGGGTGGGCTCTGCAGCGAACCCCCCTTCCCGCACCACTCGCGCTCGCTGTACCCAGACCCAGCGTCTGCATCGGGCTCCCGCTCCCCGCTGTCCCCCACGCCCCCGCCCCCGGGGAGCTCCAGCATCCCCACCGCGCCCTGTGCCCCCATCCCGCTCCGCTGCTCTCGCTGGCCGCGGCGAGAGACAAACTTGCGGCGCTGCGGGGAGCTCCGCACTCGGTCGGGGTCAGGTGTGAAGGGGATGGGGTTACCCCTCCCTACCCATGTGCAAGGAGAGGAAAACCCCTTGAAACTGCTCCGCTTGCATGTCTGAAGGAGACAGGTGGGACACCCCCATCCCGATGCTTTCCATGCCACGTCGTTCTGGGAGAGACTCCGCTCACAACTGACCTGTGGCAGTGGGATCAGGGGCCAGCACAGCCAGGGCTCACAGCGCCCTGTTCACTGCCACGCTGGTCACCTGCCAGAGGGTCAACCCTTTCCAAAGCAGTTTGGGAAGATAGCAGTTGTGCCAAGGCAGAAAGGCTGGGCACTGGGCAAGGGCGTCCTGTGACAGGGGACTGGGGCTACCTAGGAAATGCAAAGCATCCTTCACACAGCCTCTGCTTCCCTCTTGCTCGGAGCCACCAGAATCGCCAAACCAGGTGAACACCTTGCTCAGCATTAAACGCTCGACATCTGTCAACAGACCCCCTACAGCCACTACTCCTTCCCCATCTAAATGCTGAACAATCATTAATACCTGCCCGTGGTAACCACAGATGCTGACTCCCATCTACACCATGTGCAGTGACTTATTTGCTCCTTCATGTACTCGTGGCCAGTGCATTGTGACTGCAGCTTTACCCTGCCCCAGGAACTACCCCTGGGCAAGACACACAGGGCAGGATAGGCATCTCTTCCATTGTCAGGCCATCCCTTGGAAAAAGCTCATCCCAGACTTGCTCAGTGGGAACAGGGAAGGAAAGAGGGTGTTACACACCCCCCATTCCACTCTGTGTACCCTGTATGTTCTCTGGAGATGCTAGACCCCATGCTGGGGCATCCCACGGTGCTACCAGCAGCTTTCTGCATGGAGGACTGAGAGCTGCTTCCTGCCCAACTCCCAGCACAGAGTGGTAACAATTCCTCATTCAGAATGGATGAGGACTGTACCTGCAGGGACCTGTCTGCACCACTCATCGCCAGGACCTGGGAACAGCACAGAGCCTCGGGTCCCTCCAGGTTTTTTACCCTGCCTGCCTGGGAAGCAGTCAGTCCAGAGACAGTGCTGAAGAGATCCTGTCATCAGCAGTATCACGGGATGGGCTTGCAGAGCGGCTTAGGCAGGGACACAGCTGGGGCTCAGAAGATGCCAGACATTCCCAAGGCAGCTGGCAGAGGCCGAGCGGTGCTGTTAGGTAGCGGGTACAGCTACACAGTGGACTTTGCAGTGGACCTTGGAGCAAAGGGGTCAGGGCTGATGGTCTCCAGAATCACAGCAAGTTACCAGGAAGTCCCAGATGATGCCACAGTAGTTGCACCCCTGCAGCTGGTGAGAAAGCAAATTTTCTGCCAGCTTTCACGTTGCTATTCCGACCCAGACATTTCCATTTGCTGAAAGGGCTTGTCACAGCTCAGTGCTGGATCCTTCAGCTCTCTGTCCCACAGTGCCAAGCAGAGCCAGGCATCGTCTGCTTGGCTCTTGTGAAACCCTCCTGCAGACCTGCCTCCAGCTCTGGTGTTCATCTGGAGAAGAGAAGGCTCTCAGGAGTCCTTAGAGCCCCTTCCAGGGCCTAGAGGGGCTCCAGGAAAGGAACTTTGGACAACGGATGGAGTGACAAGATAAGGGGAAATGGCTTCACACTCATACAGGGCAGGGATTGATAGGATATTGGGAAGAAATTCCTCCCTGTGAAGGTGGTGAGGCCCTGGCACAGGGTGCCCAGAGAAGCTGTGGCTGCCCCATCCCTGGGAGTGTTCAAGGCTGGGCTGGGAGCAACATGGTCTGTTGGATGTGGGGTGGAACGAGATGGTCTTTAAAGGTCCCTTCCAACACAAACAATTCTATGATTCTGTGATCTCAGTCCTAAACTCTAGAAAAAGCTCTGGGGAGGCAGAAGCCAGCTTTGGCCTTCCAGCACTGAGTGGTTCCACTCACAGTGCCATGCCCCTAACCCTGCAGATCTTCAATACATCTCAGCTACCCACATGGGCTCTCCAGTCCCCTGGTGCCATCCCAGCTCCATGTGTGACAGGACTGTGGGTCCTCTGCATCTGGCAGAGGTGCCAACAGCCACCAACTATTGTATGTCTCCCACAGGTTTTGGATTTGCTGTGCTCCAGGACTGCAGAGAAGCTGTGCAGGCCTGAGCACTGTTACATGCTGTAAAGCAGCTTTGCGGGAGCCAAGACACAACCACTCCAGAAACGCCCCAAAATCCCTTCCAGGGAATGGGAGGCCTCTCAGATACTGTCAGCTCTGAGGAGAGGGGATGGTGTGTAATGGGATGCCTGCAAGCAGTGGTGGGTGCAGCAGGAAGCGGGGTCAGTGTGAACTCTGTACCACAGCACAGTGCACACATACTGGCACAGAAGGGCTGTGGAGGCAAGTATTCTGGTTTCCCTGGTCACTTGGTTTTGTGGTCAGGATGCGCCTTGAGTGCATAATCAAGCATGTGCATCAAGGCTGGGCACTGTCACAGGTGTTAAAGATGGTACAGGGTCAAACACTTTCGGGATGCTCCTGGCTGGTAATGCAGACCCCTTCCATATTAGGCTCCATGTGCAGCCACAAGGGGTGGTCACAAGGCATCCCAGGAACCCCAAACAGACCAGAAAACAGAAGCATGGAGGGCATCACACCAGGATCCCTGTCCCTCTCCCCACCTGCAGCCCTCCCCAGGCTCCCATTCAGCTATCTCTGGCCTGAACCCAGCTGCCTCCCCCTTCTTGCTGAGTGCTGCTGCTGCCTCCACTCCTTGATGAGTCTCTTGCCACATCCCTCAGCCATGGTCCTGCACCTGGCTGTCACTGAGATGGGGAGGATATTTATAGATGCAGCAGAGAGAGGAGGGCACAGCTCAGACAGACAGATCAAAGGAGGGAAGAAAGCCTGGGTTTACCCCCTTTTAGCAGCACCCAGGTCACTGTGCATTTAGCAGGGAGCCTCCTCGTTAACTCGGTAGCTCAAACCTGAGTGGTTGTTGCCCTGTGCATCCAGCTTTGCACCCAGAGATTGCCCACTGCAGCCCTGAAAGAGCAAATCTCTGCCTGGATTGAGGAGGGCAGCCCTGTTTCTGGTGTTCCAGCACTTCTGCACTATGTCGAGACACTTCTGCTCTCCTGTAGACTCTGCAGGGCCACATGCCTTAGGGTCAAGGCTAGTGGAGGGACCACTGGTGGCAGTCATCAAGGGAATGGCACTATCTCCACGCCCATGTCACTCTGTGCTGGGTCACAGGCAGAGCCAGGACTCCCTGCTCCAACCCCTGTGGAGAAGGAGAGGCTCATGGCAGGGACAGAGCCATAGTGCAGGTTGCCATAACCCTGGCACCTGTTCATCCCTCTGTCCCCTGCTGTACATCCTTTCCGAGGAGGAGGAGACATGGGTGCCCTCTCCCAAACCCAGTGTTCTTCCTGTTCATCATGTGTCTGCAGAAGAAGGACAAGGACGAGCTGTGTATGTTCCTGAGTTGTAGCAACACTGCACAGAGGTCCAGGATCCTCCCAGAAAAGCACTGATCATTGTCAGTAGGGAGACAGGACTCCTGGGGGACTTTCTCTACCCAAATAGCCTTAAACTATGCTCCATCCTTGTCTTGACCAGGCCTGAATCCAAGGAGCTTTAAAACCTGAAGTTCAACAAGTAAGATTCTTACTGCCTTCCCCCCCTACCCTGAGCCCTCCATTCTGGCTCTATGGCAGAGCCCCAGAGGTCACAGGACAGGAGGAGGGTGCTGGACACATGCAGGTGGAACATCCCCCCTCTACACTTCTGGTGGCTGTGGCATTCCCCAGTAAAGTTTGCATTTAGTGCCCCAGCCTGAGCTGTCAGCAGGAATTCTCAGGGAGCTCCAGTGTGCCCCATGTAAGGATGCCTGTGGACAGCCCTTTAAACTGGCATCTGCTACATAAACATGCTGACAAGTTATCTGCATCTGTACAACTACTCACCGGGAGCAATCTGGGTGTTAAACTGCTGTAATTCCCTGTGCTATGTCAGGGCTGGGACAGATTGCTCAGCTGCAAAGCTGAGGATCACAGGGACCACATCTCACCTCCTCCCTGCCTCCTGGGCAGGCTGACAGGCTTTTTTCCCTTTCCAGTGCTTTAGGGTTGTATTTTTCCTGGTGTGCCAAGATCCTTTTTCAACCAGGTGCCTTCCCTGCTTGCCCAGTCCTCCCTGGGGCTCACGAGTATTCCCATCATTGCCTGGCCTCTTACCCAGGAGAGCAGCCATCCAGCCAGGACCTTCCATGAGATGCCATGGCTGAAGATCTCCAGTCCTTCAGCACAGCCAGGTGGAGGGTGCTGCTCCCTCCTCATTATCACAAGCAGGTGCCCAGGTTGTTCCATTAATGCCAGCAGAGAGGGCCAGCCCTTGGCACCACTCGTGATGAGGTAGGACTGTCAGAACCGCTGGCCAGCTGAGCAATCAGCACACAATTAATTCAGGTCAAGGCTGGGGAGGCTGGGCATGTCTCTCCTTGTCATTATCAGAAACGCTGTGTATTAATATCCTTTATAGTAAAAAAAAAAAAATTCATAATTTTTCCTCATTGAAAGAGACAGTTTGGAACTGGAATTGAGACAAACACAAGCCAGGATAACCGGCTGCAGAAGGCGAGAGTTTAAGAAAGGTCTTTTGGTAATATCCATCGTTCCCTTATCAGTGAGGATATTAAATGTATTGAAATGCTAAGCAGCTCTTTAAGGGCTGTCTCTGATTTTCATTAAACAAGCAGGGGATGA